GATCATGAGAAAGGAACGGCCCGCGGAAGTCCTGACGCCCAAGGAAGGGATGAAAACAAGGATGATGATGATCGGTCTTATGCTGAGGAGGATTCTTATTTCTCCGGTGAGCAATATCTGCAAGCTAAAGTTCAGCAACCTATTGAAGTTTCAGATAACAGTTTAGCTCTCACAGTCTCAGAATTGTATCCACCTAAGAATAACAATGATTTAATAGCACAATATGATGGACAATGGATGGATGAAGAAGAGCTGAATTTGATGCGTTCTGAGCCTGTTTGGCAGGGATTTGTAAGTCAGACAAATGAACTTGTCATGCTAGGTGATCGGAAAGTTTTGAAGGCGCGAAAATCTCATCTTGATGATGTTTGCCCCGAGGATGATCAGCGGGATTCAGTCAGGTCAATTGGTGTGGGGATCAATAGTGATGTGGCTGATTTTGGTAGTGAAGTACGTGAAAGTTTGGTTGGAGGAAGCAGTGAGGGAGAGTACTTCCATGATCATGATGCTGTAGCAGGGATTAAGCAGTTTAACTCCAAGTCAGATGAGAAACGCAATGATGGATTAAGCAGAGACAAACAGAAGACAAGCACAGATGACTCGAGAAATGATCTTGTTAATAATGATACAGGTGGAACCTTGCATGTGAAAAATCTAAACGATGGGAATTTTTCGTTTGATTCATCGCTAAGAGATGGGCAGTTGATGCACACTGAATCTAGTAAATCCTTTCGGTCAAGCAAATGTGAAACAGTAATGAGGGCCAAGAAGAATGCTGAAAGTCTGAATGCGTCAACAGGAACCGATGACATGCTTGCTTCTTGGAGGCGTAAAAGTAGTGATTCTTCTAGTTCTCGAAGTTCTGGGAATGAAAATAATGCAACATCTCTAAGATCTGGGAACTCATCTCCTTCTACCCTGTCAAATTATGCTCATGCTGAAAGAAGGTTTGCTAATAAAGAAGATGATAGGAATACAAGCAGCACAAGAGAGGAAGACCAGGGGACTGCACTCGATGATGAAGAAGCGGCAGCAGTCGAGGAGCAAGTGGCACAAATTAAAGCTCAAGAGGAGGAGTTTGAGACCTTTGACCTCAAAATCGTTCACAGGAAAAACAGGCAAGGTCTCTTCAAACATTTATATGAATTTGAGCTATAATCACGTTAAGACCAGTCCATTCTCTTAAAAAAAAAAAGATATTATGAATTTGGGATTAGATGATGGTAAAGTTTATATAAACAATATTTTACGTTGCAGTCTATCCTACCCCACATTTTGCTGGTTAACTTCGGGTAAAAAAGTTACAAAAGGATGTAACTCGGTTACTCGGGCATTTCATCCCGAGTTCTTTTGAAAGTTTTGGATGTTACTTTTTCATACCGATGAGAAAGAGGCAAAAGAACAGAGAACATATCATGCCCCATTCAGCATTCAAAAGCATGTGCCATTTAAATATCTTTCACTGTGATACCCTCTTATATGTATATATTTGTTTGGTTTTCATCAGAACTGGGTTTGAAGAGGACAAGAACTTCCACGTGGTCTTAAACTCAGTCATTGCAGGGCGATACCATGTCACCGAGTATCTTGGATCTGCTGCTTTCAGTAAGGCCATACAAGCGCATGACATGCAGACGGGCATGGACGTATGCATAAAAATTATAAAAAACAATAAGGACTTTTTTGACCAAAGCCTTGATGAAATAAAACTCCTCAAGTATGTCAACAAGCATGATCCTGCTGACAAGTACCATATTCTCCGGCTGTATGATTATTTTTACTACCGGGTAAGTAATCACATCACATGTTTTTTACATCTTCTTTGTGCCCTTTTTCAAACTAGGCTGCGTGGTTAATTTTGTTTGTGGGGACTAATGCAATCGTGTTGCACGTGACTTTTACTTCATGCTTGATTTGTCGGCTCGTGATTAGTCCTCACACTTGCGACATGCGCTTGTTGCAATGCTGCAGCCTGTAATATTCTTGCATCGGCATCAGAATTTGGGAATGATTTTTCACTGACTGTATGTTGCAGGAGCATTTGCTTATAGTCTGTGAACTTCTCAAGGCCAATTTATATGAATTCCATAAATTTAACAGAGAATCAGGGGGAGAAGTTTATTTCACCATGCCCAGATTGCAGGTTTGTCTGCATTATTATTTATTTCTTGGCATGGGCTCGTATCTATCTGGTTTCTGACATTTATGTGGAGCTATCTTTACAGTCAATCACCATCCAGTGTCTGGAAGCACTCCAGTTTCTACATGGCCTTGGACTTATACACTGTGACCTGAAGCCTGAAAATATATTAGTGAAGAGTTATAGCAGATGCGAAGTGAAAGTCATTGACCTTGGAAGTAGCTGTTTCGAGACGGATCATCTGTGCTCCTATGTTCAGTCGAGGTCTTACCGAGCACCAGAAGTCATCTTGGGACTTCCATATGATAAGAAGATAGACATATGGTCTCTTGGGTGCATCTTGGCAGAGTTATGCACAGGAAATGTGAGTTCTGTTCTTTCATTGACTTGTTCATTTACTCTACACGTAAATTTGATGTTGACTTGAATGATCATTCATGAGAAGCATCTGTGGCTCATCCTTAGTTGCCGCCATAAACAACAACCGTATGATGTTTCTGTACTCTGTAGACATTTTGAATGTGTGCCTATTGAATTCCCTTGCAGGTGCTTTTCCAGAACGATTCTCCTGCCACGTTGCTTGCGAGGGTAGTTGGAATTATAGGTTCTATCGGCCAGGAAATGCTTGCCAAGGGGCGCGATACCTACAAATACTTCACCAAAAGCCGCATGCTGTATGAGCGGAATCAGGTGATTTTTCAGACTTCCGACCAGCTGACTCGGTATTAGTTTGATAGTTTTAGTTACCTGGGAACAAAGAGAAGAACAGAATGTACCCGGCCCGGTTCAAAGACACTGCACTGACAGCTCTCTCAATCTCTCCTGATGTGTTGTTCGAAGGGTTAAAACCGCGTTCATGCATTGTGTCTACTTGATTAGCTTATGAAGAACCATTCCCCAAGCACTGAATAGGTCACATATAAGTGAACCATAGCCACTTTCTTACACTCACCACATTGCATGAACATCTGCGTTTCAGGAAACAAACAGGCTGGAGTACCTGATACCGAAAAGGACCTCCTTGAGGCACCGGCTTCCGATGGGGGATCAAGGGTTCGTTGATTTTGTGGATCATCTTCTCGAAATAAACCCGGAGAAACGCCCATCCGCAGCAGAGGCTCTCAAACACCCTTGGCTTTCGTACCCTTACGAGCCGATATCTGCTTAGACCCCGGCTAAAGAGGCTGCTCCGGGGAGTAGTCTCCGTTTCCGTCTTCCTCGGCAATGGGAAGGGCAAAAACGTAATTTGCTTACCGAAATCCAACGGCCACTTGTGATAGACCTCGGAACAAGGCTTCTCCTCGGGTGATTCTTTCCTTCCACTCTTCCGTCTGCAGAGGATCCCCTGTCTGTTGTATTCTGATGTTGTCAGGGCTTGAAGTTGGAAGTAAAAGCTGTTCTTGTCAATGGCGTGTGATTTGTTCATTTAGGGTTTAAAGCCGAGCCGAACAAGCTCCCGATATCTTCAAGATCCCTTTTTTTCCCCTGGGTTTAGCTTCGTTTCCGAATTCGCGTAACCTTTTGGAATCTTTTTTTTTTTTTTTTTCAGTGTTTTGTAGGAATTGTAGCCGTTTGATGAACTGTGTTAGAACAGATCAAGTGTGATATCTTCAGTTAATTAAACTTATTGATTAAGAAGACGACAAAAAAAGGGTTGAAAGGGGAAAAATGGATGGCCGGTGAGGATAAGAGGCGGCTCCAAAAAATGACACGTGGAATCTCGGTGTCTATTATCAATGCTATCCACTGAGATATCGGCACGTGTTCGGTCCCAAATAACGAAACGACCCCGTTCTTATCGTACGCAACGACAAATCGCCGCATCCTCCACGTGGCTGATGACGTCATCCTCTTCTTGTTTTTTTTTATCTACGACGTTTGTTTGCGGTCCAAATTCAAATTGGTGTCTTCTGCTACTGTCCTCTAAATTTCAATTTATTTTGTAATATCATATGCAAACTATGTGTTTCATAATTATACTGTTAAGGTGTTAAATACGATGAATATTTTGGTTCAAGTTTGTTAGCGCTAATCATATTCAAATTAAACATAATATATCTTTTTAGATCAAACTTTCTAATTGAATATAGGTTTGAATATAATTGAGATCGAATGAATATAATTTTTTTCCTTCAAAAACCTGAAACAAATACACTAACGTTCTGAATAAGTACCTATGATATATAAATCTTTTTGTCAGATACCATAAACTTTATAAACATTGTGTCTTGATAGAAATTTTAATCATATTACATGTTTTTTTTGGTTAAATCATATTACATGTTGTGGAAAAAAAATCATATTACATGTTTTGAATATTTTTATCCGAATTTAAATGGGTTTTGAATATGTATTTGATACTTCATAACCCAAATGATTAATAATAATAATAATAATAATAATAATAATAATATGATGATGATGATGATGATGTTACACAAGTCAAAGTCACACGACCAGATAGATGGTCTTCAGGGAAAAAATACAAAAAATTCCATGAATGATAATAAAATACATAAAATACCACTTTTCATTCTAAATTAACAAATAAGGTTTTACTATATGCTTAAATTGTTACAGATTAATGTATGAATTTGGGTTTCCGGGAATAGGATGCAATGAATCAGAATAACATTCCTTCGTTGCATTTTATTTTCCCGCGCATGGAAGAGTGTGTGTGTGTGGTGGAAAATGAGGGAATCTACGGAAATAAATACGCGTTTAATTGGTAATTCCAAGGAAAATAAAAGAAATAAATCTATGGCGCCACGTGGCAAATCTAGAAGAATCTCGTGCCAAGTCTCGAAGAGAGCCGTACCTGTCTCACGCTCTCTGCTACAAAGGCACCTCTCTCCCAAACAAAGCACACAGAGAATAAACTGATTTTTTTTTCTGATAAATAACCAGTTTTTTTTTGGAAAAAAAAATCATCGAAGCGATTCGTCTTCGATTCGTTTTTCGTGAAGGGATCATTTCTTTATAATCGATTCCTCTTCTTCTCCATTTCTTCCTCTTCTGCCGCCATTGTCTTGTAGTTCTGTTTATCTGGTCAGAAACAGGGGAAACCCTTAATTTGGAGTTACCCGTTCGTCATTTCGATCTGCTATATTTGGCAAAGAGAAGCAGATTGTGTTTGGGTGTCCTTTTTTTTTTCTTCCTATTTGAGTTCTCTTCGTTTATGATCTGTTCAATCGGAGGATCGATCTTAATTGGTAGAGGAACTCGAATCCCTAGGTTACCCATCATCAGAGGGCCTTCCAAATTTTATGTGAACGAGGAATCGTGCGCTCTCCCGGTCAGTATTGCCGTTTTCCGACGATCATCATCATCATCAATGGCGATGGAAGTGAAGATAATGGGTTCTGGTTCTCCGACGTTGATTCTGACATCGGGAGCGAGCGGTCGCGTCAGGGCTCTCTTCTCCATGCGAGAGCTCAAGCGTCTCGTGATGATAATCCAAGCGATGATTCTCTTTCTCTTCCTCCCCATCCGTGTCGTCGTGTGGCGGCAGTGGACGAGTACGGTGGTGGTTAGAGAGGAGAAACAGGAGAGGAAGGTTCGTGTTCCTCCGCCATCGACGATCGCCGCCCTGAAAAGGAACGCTGACTGCAGCGGCGGCGTCGTAACTCCGGCGACGGTGGTGGTGGACGAGGATGTGGCGGTGAGACGGTCGCTAGCGGTACGGCGTGTGTTGGAGGACGACGTTGGCGTCGGAAGCTCCGCCAGAGAGTTCTCGCTTTTTACGACGAGGAGAGGCGACACGTTGTTCACTCAGTCATGGACACCAGTCTCCTCCAAGACCAGGTCATCCCCCCCCCCTTTATTAGTTCTTTTAATTATGTCTTAATCATTAGCTTTAATTAATCTTTTGTGGTGTTAAGAGTGATTAATTGGATTAAGATTATTGGAAGCATAGATTCTTGGCATGGGTAGGTGGGTCAGTGCAAGCTGCAGCATTCTCCTTCTCCGTCCGCTTATTCATTATTAAAGATTTCATAATTATTGTTAATTAGTGTATTGAAACTGATCTTAAGGTGTTAAAGGTTGCATAAACGAGTCATTAGTCTACTTGGTTTCCTGAATAGTATAAAGTATTAACCTTTTCGGCTTGGTGCAAAGTTGATGTGAAGGGCTGAGAGCCCAAGTAAAGATTTTTTTTTTTAAGTAGAAGATTCTTGGTTCATATGTCGGGACAAGCAAAATAAGGGTTCCTACCCTTCCAAGGACCTTTTCCCAAGGAATGTGGTTCCCCATCATAAAGCTGAGCTGATGATATAATGGTTTTCCAATTCTTGGACGCTTCTTAGATCCTCTGCTGTCTCTTTTGAAGGGCTGAGAGCCCAAGTAAAGATTTTTTTTTTTAAGTAGAAGATTCTTGGTTCATATGTCGGGACAAGCAAAATAAGGGTTCCTACCCTTCCAAGGACCTTTTCCCAAGGAATGTGGTTCCCCATCATAAAGCTGAGCTGATGATATAATGGTTTTCCAATTCTTGGACGCTTCTTAGATCCTCTGCTGTCTCTTTCAGCTGGTCCTGGTTGCTGTCTTGTTCTCTATCTTTTGTTGGTTTG